TGTTTGTGGGAAAGGAGGATGGGAAATAAATAGATTGAGGCTGTTCCATGTGCTCTGCTGTCAACACACCTGGGTAAGGGCTCTGAGGGGGTGGCAGAGCACAGATTCCAGGGATGTGGCTCAACATTTTGGGTTTAGTTTACCTCAGTTCCCTCTTAGGGATCATAAGCAAAACATTAGTTTTTATTTTATGATTTAAGCAGTAATCAAACCCAGAAACATCCATTATTCATGTTTAACAAAACAATTTAACTGCAACTGAGGTAATATGAACACAAGTGCCCAATTCCCTGTTTTCATAACCTACAGCATGTGACCTCTGTGGTAGACTTAAAGCAAGCAATAAATCCAAATTTTAACTTTCATATACTTGCTGGCAATGCATCTTAAGACTTAAAACATTTAGTGTTTTCTTTCTGGAAGAGCACTGAGCAAGAACAAGGATATCTTTAAGACAGCTCTAAATACTTGTGCTACACATGCAAATGTTTGTCTTGGGCCTCTGCAGATTTCATACCTATACAGTTAAATTTAACAAGCTTGCAAATTCAAAAGCAGATTTTTAATATATTGAGAATCAACACAGTGTTTACAAATATTTATAGCATCAGTGTCTTATGTTTATTTACTTCCATATGTACATAAAATATTTTAAATTGCTTTAATATCCTCCATGCTAAAGAAGCTACAAGTGGCACAATCTCTGCTCAGAATCTCCAGGACCATCCACTGTCCTGGTATCACCTTTTTATCCAATTCCATTTCTGCCAAAAGCTTTCTTTTGAAGTCTGGCAGGAGCTTCCAACTCCCAGTTAAATTCTATTTATTAGACTAATAAAAAACACACACATAAAACAGTCACATAATTTAGAGTCTTTCTGTCAGGCAGTTTCAGGCTCTGGCACAGCTCAAAACAATTAGAAGAGCAGAAATCAGATTCTACCTTGTTTTTGAAGTGCACTTCAATGGGCATAATGAAGCCAGCGTAGCCAGACTCCTCCACCTTGTAGGGGGGCTCCTTGCACACTGAAAGAGAACAAATAAATGTGAGCTTGGAATTCAGCACAACTTTATTTGAGGCAAAAAGGAGCTGCAAGAGGAGAGCTGGGCCTCTGACAGCTCAGGGCACAGTTAAATCATTGACCTTTGTGGAAAAACCCACACAGAATAAGATGGTGGCCACAGGCTTAGTTAAGAACATGAAATCTGTTCTTGGCTCCTCCCATGGAACGGAAACATAAAACACTGCAGGCCCGAGTCTCAGTGAGCTCCTTCCCCTCCTGTGCACCCAGATACAATTACAGCTCTGGGCAGGCCCACAACAATGCAAACTGCCAGCTCCAAGTGCCTGGCAAGGAAAGGCCAAGACCCGAAAAGTGGAACAGCACAGAAAGAAAAAAAAACTTTACTTTGATGCCCATAATTCTGAATCAAAACACTGCCACACACAAGCAGGGGATTATTTTTTCCTTGAAACACTCCCCAGTGCTCACAGTTGGGTAAGAGCCACGCTCCAGGTGAACAAACCTGAAGGGCAGGTGAGCACTGCTATTTATTTCACACACAAGGAAACACGAGGAGGAAGGTGAACCAGTTTGCTGTTAAGGTCAGAGCTGCTTAGTGCAGAAACAGCAATTAGAAAAGTTAATTGCTTTTCAGAAATTAATCTGCATGTCCCTGCCTCAGTTTCCCCTGTCCCGCTATCTGCTGTGGGTTCATGCTCCTGAATTTTGCTGTTATCCATTCCAGGATATCCAATTTGAAGGATACCAGGATCATTTCACTGCTCCATTTCTTTGGCCATGAAGCAGCAGCACACAGCAGCTGCCAGGAGAAACATGAGACCCACACAGATATTCTCCCTCCTCAGGAACTGGATGCACTTGCATATAATTTATGCACTACAATATATGTAAATAAAGTCAATTAGGTAATTAGAGGAATTCAGTGCAAATCTTTTGAGTTTCTCTTAAGAATTCCAAGTAATTAATATGATTAGGAAACAGTACATCAAACCTAAAAGCACACAAATGATTTGCCTTTAATGTAGCTGTATTATCCCCTCCCAGCTCTAAGCACTTCTACCATCATTAAGGTGCTGGAAAGCAGCACTCCAGATACAACTGAGAAAAAAGGGCATCCCTAAAAATAACAAAAAACCTCTAGACTTGCTTTAACTTGAATTTCATACAAGAACCCTGTCATTTAGAGGGAAAAATCCCAAAGCAAAGAGCGGTGCCAATATGGCAGCAGGAATCCTAAGCCTGTGTGCCAAGCAGCCTTTGTTCCTCTGCCACTCTGTTCTGACAAATTCCAAGGGCTCCAAGAGCAATCTGCCAGCAGCACGAGCCCACCTTCAGCAGCAGGAGCTGCTCCAAGAGGGCACCATCTGAAAAACCCCTCAGAAACACTCAGGACTAGGAGAGGAACTTGAGGTACAACCCAGACATGCCTTGCTCAAAGGCACACTGCAATTAGGAACAAGGAAGTGTGGAAATTCAGGGACTGGGAGAAAATACTCCTGGAAAGGGAGATGATACAGCAACTGATTGAGCAAAGGCCATGGTTTATACTGCCAGAGGGCAGGGATGGATGGGAGATTGGGAATCAGGAATTGTTCCCTGGGAGGGTGGGCAGGCCCTGGCACAGGGTGCCCAGAGCAGCTGGGGCTGCCCCTGGATCCCTGGCAGTGCCCAGGGCCAGGCTGGGACAGTGGGAGGTGTCCCTGCCATGGCAGGGCTGGCACTGGATGATCTTGGAAGTCCCTTCCAATCCAAACCATTCCATTACTCTATGTGCTATCCCAACACAGTTATTTGTAATAAATGAATTACACTACAGGACAAGAACTGTAACCCACAGGTTGTATTTTCATTCTATAAATCAGCTTTCAGCTCAGTCCTGCACCTGCTTGTCACACATCAGTTTGAAGAGAGCAGTTTGAAGGAGATTTTATCAACACCCCTGTGAATGCTGAGCACCTCTCAGCTCCTTTCTTTGTGGAGTCCCACACATCCCCAAGGTCACAGGCTGTCCCAAGGCACCCTGAGTGTCCTGCTCCTGAAGCACTATTGTCAGAAATGCACATTACAACAATTCTCAGGGGCAGCTTGTCTTTCTTAAAGCACTAATGCTGCAGCTCCAGTTACACAATCCTACACAGAGGGAACTGCACTGCCCCTGAGAAGGGCAATTCCTGCTCCTCCACCTCAACCTCATGGGCTCCTGCTGCCCCATGCCAACAATAAGGTTCAGTTTGCTACAGAGTCAGAAAACAAAGTCAGAAAATACCACTCCAACCCAACCACAATGACTGCACTGGGCTTGCATGGGGAATGTACAGCAAAGACACCATCACCCCACGGCAGCATTGATTTCTGCTGGGTTAAGGCTGCCTGAACTGCCATCTGAGACTAGAAATTGCAACAATCTGCAAAACTCTCCATAGCCAGTACACATCTGAGCCCAGAGCATCTCTCATGTGCTTCCAGCTTTTGCTGGTGAATTCTAACAAATCAAACCCATCTTTTCCATTGTGTAACATGAATTATCTTCTGCTGTCACTTGTGTCTTGAGAACCTGCACATACTAAATGCTTAAATAAGAGGAGAAAGCAGCTCACCTCCTGCCCTTTCAGCAGAAGAAAGGTCCCATTCTCCCTGACCTTCCTCAAGCTCAGTGGGGAAAGGTTCAAGCTGGAGTGCACGCAATGGATATTTCTCTCCTTTTTAAGGAGCTATTTCACAGAAAAGTGCCAGTTGAACACAACCTCGACTTGCAGAATGCTCTTTCACAGAAATAAAGCACACCCAGCCCCTCTGACCTCGCTTGGGTTTTGGGAAGCTCTCGTGCAGCCGGAAGACGACGCGCTCCACGAAGTGCTGGATGTCGCACTGCTCGGGGCCCCGCACGAACACCATCCAGTCATGGGTGAAACCTTCCGTGGTCGGCTTCTTGCGCAGCTGGGCCCGGTGCCCCAGCTCCAGCTTCACCTGCACCGTGCACTGCGAGGGGACAGAGAACACA